ATTGAAAAGAGAGAGAAACTCATCTTAATATCTTTTCTCTCTCTCATCGTATACATTACCGCTTATACAAAGGATGCTCAGTCTATACTTACTATGGGCTTGTTCGTTTTAGCTACACTGGGGCTGCTCTGGGCACCGATCACGTAAATTTTCCCCTAGAACGAATCAGTGAGAAGTGACGAGTCTCATGCGGATTTCATTATTTTGTGATCACGTAATTTTAATTCCGGTGACAGAGTGAGACATTTAGCGTGAAACTTTTCACCAATAGCCGACATGGTTAAACGGTGAAAATCTAGTGTTTATTAACCTACACAAAATTATTAATTGGTAAAATGGCCGAAATTTTTGGATTTTAAATCTGGCAATAGAAGAAAAACGAAGATTAAAACTAATGCGCAGACATTTACGTGATGTTTCGGATCCATTCAATGTGTCTAAAACACAGTTCTTACAGTTATATAGGTATGCGCATATAAATATATAAAATTAAAGCAAAAGTGAAATTGTACATAATGCATTGACACCTTCTAATATTTTTAATTGAGCCTTTAGAAATATTTTTTATTAACCATTAACATTTAATTGATATCTATTTTGTATGGGTTCTCTATTTATGCAGATTAAGCAAAGAATGTGTACTAGATTTATGCAATAGTTTGCGACCTTATGTACCATAAGAACAACGCTCAACTGCAATACCTCTAGAATTAAAGGTGACTTATGTGTGTTAATATATTATTTTATTAAAGGATTAACATTCGTAAAAAATTATTTTAGTATAATCTTTATGTCAATATTACTTTCAGGTTTTATCAACTTTTTTTTTTCACCACCTGTACCCCTCGAATAATTTTTTCTCTTCGTCTCCTTTTTGAGGACGTTCATTCGCCAGTCATTCCAGCTCTATTATTATAAAACAAGTATTTACATTATGAGTATCAGGTAGTTAAAAAATAACAAAATTAGAAAAATAAGTAATATACTATTTTTTAATTGCGCTTTTACCTTTCTCCATTCTTCAGCACTCTTTTTGGGACCCTCACCAGAACAATTTAAAGTGTTCGCTAAGTTATCCCACATATCTTTCTGCAAACAAATTCATTATATATTATGTATATATGTAAATTAAAATATTTTTAATGAAACACATTATGCATATTTTTAATGTAACACATTATGCATTAATAATATAATACCATTGTCCTGCGGCTTTCCGATTTTCTACTTAATCGTCCTTGTAGTAATTTTCGATGTGATTCCATGTAATTTAATAGCATTTCTCTTTGCTTATATGTAACATTCATTTTTAAACTGAAATACATATACTAAATTAGAGAAATTTTTCAAATAAACGTTTATGTAATAAATTAATAAATTGTTTTAACTTACAACTTACAACTATTAGTAATAGTAATAAATTAAAGTAATAAATTAATAAATTGTTCAACTTACATTAGTAATTGTGTTTTTTATTGCCGTTGATTGCACTTATAAGTTGACTTATGTGACAATTAAACTCAATAAGATTGTCTTACTAAATTTAGGGTTATGTTTGTAATCGTGAAATTTTATTCAGTGTGGTTCTTGGGATATTTTGTACTTGCACCGATATGTAAGTCCTCACTGCTTCTAGTGATGTCACTATTCATTTCTTTCACTACATGATCGCGGTGGAAATGATGAACGATGAAACCGTGAGATGGCCACCAATGAAAATCTAAAAGTGAACTATGTCACCGAAGAATACGTGATCGATGTCCTGGTTCTGCTCTACACAGGATAATACAGGACAGATAAATAGTTTGTTTTGTATTATCTTGTTTAGAGCAGACCCAGAGCTGCCCCAGTGCAGCTAAAACGAACAAGCCCTATGTCTATGAGTCGGATTGACCTCAATTGTCTAGTCGGATGAAAAATTTCATAATGTGACTTATCATATAGATTTTACTTCTTTTAATAACTTTATGCAGTATTGTAAGATTGTAGGAAAAAATGTACGCATTAGTGAAATACACTGATGTATATTATGTATGTAATTCGAAATATATTACAAGGAAAAAAGGTGAGACAAAGGTTACTTATAAGGACGGTTGTAGGTATCCAGCAAGCGTTATTGTAAAACATGGTAAGTCGAAACATTTTATATTTTCAGTTTTTGCATATATTCCCCCCCCCCCCCCCAATAAATTTTGCAGTTATTCCAATAAATTATATATTATTTTTTATATCATTCTAGATAATAAAATTTTATTAGAAGAAGCCAAACGAAATATTGTAATAGGCAAACCATGTGTGTTATTAAACAAACCACTTGAAATATTGAACAATGAGAACAATGGTAAGTTAATTCTATCATTAGATGTTCAAAGTAAGATTTTACAAGACAGAAAATATCAGACTTGTAGAAGTTTATTTTCACATGCATACAATAACAATGTAAATGCTAAAAATATTTTGAATTACCATGTTTTGCAATAACATTTGCATACTTAAGACGTTTTTTATATGTGACATTTGTTGTATTTTTTTTGCTTATATCATTTGAGTTATACATATAATCACAGTTTTTATTTGTATCAGTCTTTTGATTTTCCTTATCAATATCAGTTACTTTGTTAATATCTATGGAATAGATATATAAAAAAAAATAAATAAATACATTATTTGTAATATAAAATATATTAAAGGTATAAATGTATTTACCCTGATAGCACAGAAGGTTTTGGTTATGTTGCGTTATGTTGCAGAGACATAACAGAGACTTTGTTATATCTGTGTTATATATCTGTAACATAACCGAAACCTTCTGTGCTATCAGGGTAAATACATTTATACCTTTAATATATTTTATATTGCAAATAATGTATTTATTTATTTTTTTTATATATCTATTCCATAGATATTAACAAAGTAACTCATATTGATTAGGAAAACCAAAAGACTGATACAAATAAAAACTGTGATTATATGTATAACTCAAATGATATAAGCAAAAAAAATACAACAAATGTCACAAATAAAAAGCGTCTTAAGTATGCAAATGTTATTGCAAAACATGGTAATTCAAAATATTTTTAGCATTTACATTGTTATTACACTATTATTAGAAAAGATATTATTTTAAACAATACAATTTTTATAGAAGAAGCAAAGCAAAACGTTAAAATAGATGTACCACATGTATTATTGGACAAACCATTTCAAATATTGGATATTATATTTATAGTTTCCATATTATTCATTATTGCTAAATAAAATTCCAAAATATTAACTATTAATGATAATAATATATTTACAGAATCTACATCTCCAATACGAAATACACATACATCCAATACGAGAGAAGAATCTCTAACTTTTGAAGATATTGAAGTTCTAGACAGCGATATTTCTTTATCTAGTAGGTAACATTTATTATATTTTGATTCAACAATAATTTAATAATATATATTTTATAATGTGAAACACATTGTTTACATTATATAAATATAATCGTTTTTCTATTTTTATATTATAGACTTACTTGATAGATCTATACCATTAAATTTAAATTGTGGCAAGAGATTAACTTTTGACAGCTTTGATATGTAAAGATTGTATTTGTATATTTGGGATATCTGAATTATTAAAGCTTGAAATGTTATTTATAAAAACAAGTTTCTTAATTTGAATGTTTATATCGAATAATATTAAATTTATAGACAATATAATAATATATTTTTATATTAGATAAAATTTTATATATATTTATAAATGATTATTTTTTTAATTTTTAAGATAGCTATATTTTTCTAATTGACTTATCTCATTCTGATTTTAATTTCTCAACAAATTTAGAAGAAGGAACGGTATCTGAAAATGCCTGTATCTCTAAGTGTGATAATGTGAGTCTCAAGTGCAATGAAGCAAATGTTGATGCAATTTCATTACCACTTGGTATGTATACTTTAATTGATAACTATATTACACTTGAGAGTTACACTTGAGAGATGTTTAAAATATTATAGTCTACTATTATAAACAAGTGATTAAATTAAATAATGACAATGTCAAATATTAATGTGAAATTTATATACAGTATAATATTTTGATAGTAATTAAATGTTTTCATAGTATCAAATAATTGTCTTATAAATAATGGATTATTATTTAAAATATTCTTTTTTTGTTATTGATAATCTAATTTGGTTTTGATTATAACAATTTATAATTATCTACAGAAATGATGGTACCAGAAAATGTATGCATTTCTACTAACTGTGCTAATGTGAACCAAATGTGTAATGAAGAAAATATTAATGTAATTTCATTACCACTTGGTATGTATATTTTAATTATTTTGATAATTATGTTACACTTGAGTTACATTTGCGAGATGTTTAAAATATTAAAGTTTAATATTATAAACAAATGATTAATTTAAATAATGACAACATCAAATATTAATGTGAAATTTATGTACAGTATAATATTTTGATAGTAATGAAACGTTTTCATATCAAATAATTGCCTTATAAATAATGAATTATTATTTAGATATTCTTTTTTTTATAATTGATAATCTAATTTAGTTTTAATTACAACAATTTATAATTATCTACAGAAGAAATGACGGTACAAGAAAATGAATGCATTTTTACTAATTGTGATAATGTGAGCCAAATGTGTAATGAAGAATATGTTGATGCAATTTCATTACCACTTGGTATGTATATTTTAATTACTATGATAACTATGTTACACTTGAGAGTTACACTTGAGA